GTGCCTTCTCTCAGCACTGCATCGCCAGAGTGAAGTTACAGAGCGCGGATCCACTAAATGCCAGCAGGTACCCTGAGCTGCTTGCTAGACAGGAGAGAGACTGATCAGCCGCTTGCAGCAAGGCTCATAGCTCCTGCCTATGCCCCCAGTTGCCCACCTGGAATGCACTGCATGCCCTGGTCCTTACTGATTCCGGCCCAGCATAAGAGGAGGTGCTTGTGCTTTGTGAGAGTGACCTTATAGACATACAGTCTGAACCAGGAGGGCGTGGAAGCCAAGCAGTGTAGAGGGGGAAGCAGGCTGACACTGAGCTACCCCACCACCATACCACACACTTTGGGCTTCTTTCCTTGAGTTCCTCAATGCACCTCATAGCATTGCATCTCCTGTCCTCTCTGCAGACCTCAGCATGACTCCTGTCCTCTAGCTTGTCTTTTTATGGAAAAGCAAAGGGACATGATGGCGCATATTTTTGTAACCCCACTAAGTACATAGCCCACTAAGGTACTTGTTTGTTTGTTTTTTGTATCAAAGATTGAACTCATGACCTTGCACTTGCCAGGCAAGCGCTTTTGCAGCTGAGCTAAATCCCCAGCCCCTGGGAACTTACTTGTGCTAGGTGGGGTTCTGTTGCTGGGAGCAGCCCTCTTAACTCTGCCTGTTGCCTTTTGCTTGTGACCTGTGGGGTTGATCCAATCCTCCCCTCTGAACAAAAAAGGAGTTGCAAAACTAGCTGAACACAGGCCAGTGGGCTGGGGCGCTTCCCTTGGCAAATGTGCAGTCCTCGGGGCTGTCAGTGGGAGACGCCTTTGCTCCTTTCTGCTCCCTTTTGTGCCCGGTTTCTACCCCAGTGTAGTTCATCCCGCCACGTGCAGTCGCAGCACAGTGCTGTCAGACGTTTTGGCTGAGAAGCCCTGTGAGAGGAGGTGAGGGTGTCAGGAACAAAGTGATCATTGTGGGCCATTCCTGTTGACAGCAACATTTAGACCTCCGGTGTTTGCTGGCAAGCAAAAGCAGGAGCTAATTTGCAAGGCTGCTTTGTGGAACTGCTTTTGATCAGTGATTGCCTCTGTTAATGTTTCAGTAAGCTATTGATTTCTGCAGCAGCTTTTGTTCCTGAATTTATGTGCAGCGGGTCTCTGCAGCTCACACTATGCATGTGTGATTAAAGTTCAATTGACTTCATTCCTAGCGAGGCTGCAAGCTGCTTCACTCCTTATTTGTAGAACCAAAGCTTTCTTTTGTTTGTGCTCAAGACCTAGCCACCCATGCAGTCTCCAATATGCTGTTTCTAATCCTCCCAGATCCGCTCCATTCCAGAGTTTAATCCCTTGGTAGACATTGCAGTGGTTGAGAAGCAGCTAATAAAACCTGGCCTGGATTTGTTGCTATTTCTTTGGTTTTTATTGGCATGTAATAGATATATTGGGGGGGGGGATGGACCCACTTTAAGTGCACTCTTCCATAAGTTTTGACAACTGTTTACATCCCTGTAAATAGCACCACCATTGATTCACAGATGATTTCTGACACCCAGTGTTTACTTATGGCCTTTGCAAGCACTTTCCTGTTAATCCCCTTCAGGCTGTAGGCAGCCATTGTTTTTTGTGACCTTAGATCTGCCTTCCTAGAATGAAGTCTTATCAGTTATCCCTTTTTTGGGCTAACTGCTTTCATTTAACAGGATTTGCTCCCATCTTCTCAGTAGTTCTTTTTATCACTGAAGTAGTATTCAGGGAACAGTTGTGCTGTAATCCTTACCCATTTTCCTTCTGATTGTTATTTGTGTTGTTTGCAGTTTGGAGCTACTGAGAAACTTGTGTAAAAGCCTTATGTGAGGGCTGGGGCTATAGCTCAGTGGCATAAGTGCCTGCCTGGCAAGCACAAAGTCCTGAGTTTGATTCCTGGCACCCCCTCAAAAAATCTCGTGTGAACATGTGTTTAATTTTGAGCAAGTAGCCAGGAGTGGAATTGCTGGGTTATGTGGTGGGTGTTTATGTAATGGAGTAGACACAGACAGCATCTTTTTGGGGGCAGGTACCAGGTATGGAACTCACTGAGCTAAATCCCCAGTCTTAGGGGTAGACAACAGAGCAGAAGACCACTTTAGACCCCCGCTGGCAGCATGTGTATACGCCATCATTTCCTTAGTGGGGTGAATTCGGCCCTGTGAAGTAGGGTCCTTTTAACTGGTCATTTTGCTCCTTGGCAGTTAGCTGTGTCTATTATGAATTTCTTGTTCTTGTTTAAAATCTATTACAGCGAGGGGTGGTGGTACATGCTGATAATCCCAGCACTCAGCAGGCTGAGGCAGAAGGATCATTGTGAGTTCGAGACCGGCCTAGGCTACAAAGTGAGCTCAAGGCCAGTCTGACCTGCATAGAGAGACCCTGTTTCAAAAAGACTTAATAATACTAATAAAATCCATTACGTGCTGACAGAAAGTTGAGGTTGACTTCAGCATTAGGGTCCTTTCTTTCCAGTCCTGGTTTTCTTGCCCACTAGCAGCGCATGGCACAGGTGTGAAGGTGGGGAGGCCTGGCCAGCTTCCTGGAACCTTTCTTCCCTCTGTGGTGTGGCAGTTACTTAGCCTCACTGAACTCTGACTTCCTCTGCTTGAATCTGCAAGTCATGCTATTTTTCGGAACCACAGGCGACTTTGAGAATTCAGGCGTTTGAGAGGTGCAGGCCGCTGAGAAGCGTCTGGGTCACGGCACCTCCCAGCCCTCACCAGACGCTGAGCTGTGGCAGGGCCCCGCTGGCTCGTTCCCAGCTGACCTTTTCCGTCTCCCATAGCTTTGGGTTTCTTCTGATGGACCACGTTTGTGTCACTCATTGGTCCATAAAATGACTCGGGCCAAAGAAGCTGGAAGGGAGGAATGGGTTTTTCGCATTCTTTCGGCTGTTGGCTTATCAGACCAGTCCCCTGCTCAGAGCCACTCTGGCAAAGTCTTCAAAAGGCGCCTGTGCCCTGCCTTGGATTTTGTTTCACATTTTCTCATTGGAAATCGCGGCCAGCTCAGTTTCCTGCCCACAGAGGCCTCTTAACGCCCCACCTGCTGCAGACTGATGCGTTTGTGTTCTCCCACAGCACCACTTCCCCACCAGGAAGGTCAGGCTAGGGTGACAGGCCCTGGGCAGATTTGGGGTGTGCTGGTAGCCACGTTTGCACGAGAACACAAGTGGAGAAACGAATCAGAATCCAGGAGCAAATTCTGCATCTTCCCCTCTCAGTCTACAACATCCCCTGGAACCTTGTCACACCTGTGTAGACTGGGGCAGGAGTGTCCCACTCCTCTCTCCAGCTTGGGCAGCGCTTCATCTGGTTGGTGTTGGCAGCTGTCAGCATAGTGTTAAGTGCTGGGAAAGACTGAAGCATCCCCGGCTCACAGGATTCTTGCAAAGTGCGTGGAGGGGCCGATGGGTCCTGCTGTAGACCTGCCTCTTAGAAGAATGTACAGGTGGAGTCCAGCTCGAGGCAGGAGAGCTCAGCTCACACCCTCCTTGCCTTCACAGATGCCATTTGCCAGCCTGGGGTCTGCCTGCTGCTCTTGTCATGGAGTTCCAAGGCCACTGCGTCAGGACCACTGGGATGACATCTGGCCAGGCACCCACAGCGGGAGCCATGCTAGTGTCTGCAGTCTTCCCAGCTCGCCCTGGGCTCGCCAGCCACCAGAGGCTGAGCCTTGTTTGCCGCCTCCTTCACGAGCCAGCGGCTTGAGGCATGGTGATGCTGTGACCTGGGTTCTCAGTGCAGCGTGATGCCCAGGATCTGAGTCCAGCATGATTTAGTGAGGGAAGAATCATGTGACCTGTGAGTTTTTGATAAAGAGGTCTTGTCTTGGGACATTTGTTTTAAGAAGTTGGTGTTGGATCATCCAGGGCTAACTGAACGAGCATTTGTGTGCCTGTGAGACAGGTGTCTGCAAGACCACTGGTGGGGCCAGGGCTGCCGCCACCACCCTTTTGTGAGAAAGTGGCTTCTGTTGTATTTTCAGGGAGGCTTGTGCAGGACCACGGACGGAATAGCTCTTTGTCACTGTGAAAGCTGACCTGGGGGCAGGTGATGCTTCCTTTCCGTGTGCCCAAGGCTGAGTGGCCTGGCCTGCCATACTGCCAGCTGTGGGTATTCGGATGGAGCCAGAGGCTGCAGGGCAGGGTCTCAGGGTGTAGGGCCTTTTCCTTGAACAGCCCTGTGATTTCACTGGAATGCTGCCTATATGCACCTGAATGCCCAGTCACTTCACCCACTCGGCGTGCAGCTGGTGCTTGCAGAGGCCAGGAGCCATGGTATCGGGACCTTGTGTTCACGCAACACCGGGTTGGGGTGAATTTTTGATGTCCACAGGTTGAGCTGGATCGTGAAGTTTCCCTGACTGGGCTTAGATTTCCGGTCCTGCTTCAGCCTCCCCAAGTGGTGGTATTACAGGTGCACACCACCATGCCTGGCTCAGCTGGGCTTCGTGAGCACACCCAGGCCTCCCCACACTTCCAGGAGCAGGCTTTGTTCTTCTCTCCAGGGAAGGGTTCCCACCCCACTTCCTGCCAGGGAGAGGTGGGATGGGTCTTTTAGAAGCAGCTTACCAGTTGAAAGGATTTCAGATCCTTCTTGGCTTACACAAAGAATTGGATGAGACAATTCAGAAATAGCCCCAAAAGTTTGAGGGGTGGAGGGATAAGGGGAAAAGTGATTCTATAGAACGAACTTGGGCTGAACAGAGCGGGAGGATAAAAGTACATTCTGTGTCTAAACGGGCCACTGTGAGTCATCCCAGTGGAGGGCTCCTCATGGCATCTGTGTCCTTACATGTTGTCCATATCTCGTGGGAACTCCCAAGGAGTTCTGTGCACCGGGTCCTGGGAATTGACTGACTCTATGCTGGGATCTTGCAGTTGACAGGCCCCGCTTAGATTCCCAGCCAGCTTTGCCGCACCCATCTCCTGTGTCGGTGGAGGCACCCTGAGCACACTGCCTTCACAGCCAGCCTTCTTCTGTGCAGGGGGAGCTGATCACCTTCTATTACTACTGGAAGAAAACCCCAGAAGCAGCCAGTTCCCGAGCTCATCGCCGACACCGCAGGCAGGCGGTGTTCAGGAGGATTAAGACTCGAACTGCGTCCACACCAGTCAACACGCCCTCCAGACCCCCCTCCAGTGAATTCCGTAAGTAGGCTCTGGCACTGCAGAGGGTGATGGGAGACCATACATGCACAGCCAGTGTGTCCAGGAGGATGTGTGAGAGCCGTTCTTAGTACAGGTGCCTGCAGGAAGTGTGTGAGGCCTGGCCCAGGTGTAGCGCTGACCACGGGTGGGGTTCAGTGGGGAGAGTTTGAGTGGTTATTTGTACATTTAAGTTTTTCCATTCCTGGTAAGCTTTTACAAGACTGTTGGCTTGGCCCTGACCTGAGGTTTTCAGGGCCTTGGCCTTGGATATTCCTCCTCAATGGAAGATGCAGTGTTTCAGGTCTCACAGCAGGTGCATTTTGGTGGTTTCCCTTTTCCTCCTGCTTGGCCAGGATCCTCTTCCCAGCCCCAATGCAGTATGTGTGATAATTCCTCCTAAAACTAGGACACCTGGCCTGAGCGTGGCCTGTGTTGCACTTAGCAACAGTCGGGAATAACCTACTAGGACTGGCAGGGCAATTCCTCAGGATGCCCAGATGTACCAGGGAAGCCACTGCAGTTGTACTCCTCTCAATCTAGATTCTCTGGTCTGGGCCTCAGAGTCTGCCCTTCCTGGAATCCAGGTGTGACTTAGCCTTAAAATGTGGGGGGGTGGGTCTTTTGAGTCCCACAGCTCATGTGCAAGCTCTGGGGACTGTGCCCAAGGAACCGGAGCCATCCTGCGTGAGTGCTGTCCCACCTCCTGTGGGGTCACTTACTGGGCCCAGGGGCCCAGGGTGGCCCCAGTCCTGGCTGAGCCTGACAGTGTCTCCTTTGTCTGAGCCACTTTTCTTGTTGCTGAAACAAAATACTCAAAACTCAAAGTTCAACAAAAAAGTTTATTTGGCTCACAGTGTGTAGAGCTTTCAGATTGTAGTACACTGGCTCCAAGGCTGGGTCGCCTAGCAGGAGAAAGCCTCCCTTTTACTCCTTTCGGGCTGCTTGCCCTTTGGATGGGGCCGCCTACTGCCCACAGCTAGAGCTGCACTTAGCCCACCGGTGGACTAATTTAGTAACCACCTAGCTTGGACCCTGCCTCCTCTAAGAAGCCCTAGTTATGACGGCATGAGGTTTTGGGGTGGCGTCCAGACACAAGCCATAACATCCCCTTTCCTGTTTGTGCCCATCTTGTGCAGTGGACCTTAGTTCGGCCAGCGAAGATGACTTTGACAGCGAAGACAGCGAGCAGGAGCTGAAGGGCTACGCCTGCCGCCACTGCTTCACCACCAGTAAGTGGCAGCGTGGCGCCCCGAGGGTGGGCTAGTGCTCATTCCACTCCTGGGGAGTTGGGAAGCCCGCTGGGCAGCGGCTGGAGGTTTGCCAGGACTGGAAGTCTTCCTCATGACTTTGTGCACCTGCTCAGCAGTCAGCATGGTTAGCAAGGACGCTCTCAAGGCCTGGGACTCCTGGGGCCCCTTGGACACCCTGTGGCGTTTCCTGACCCTGGTAATCTGAGTCATAGCTGCTCCTGCACAGCAGGGCCCTTCCCCCGGAAGTCCCGTGGGAGGTGGTTCCGAGATTGGCACCTGCCCCCTGCCCTCATGCAGCCTCCAAAGACTGGCACCACGGGGGCCGGGAGAACATCCTGCTCTGCACCGACTGCCGAATCCACTTCAAGAAGTACGGTGAGCTGCCACCCATCGAGAAGCCGGTGGACCCCCCGCCGTTCATGTTCAAGCCCGTCAAGGAGGAGGACGATGGGCTCAGTGGGAAGCATAGCATGAGGACACGGCGGAGTCGGGGCTCGGTGAGTGCCGGGCACACCTCCGCTTGGCACAGGGTGGTGTGAGTAGAGAAACGGGCCTTCCCTGAAGGTAGCAGCTGGGTTGTCCCTCCCTTGGGCACCCAGGGCCCTGTGCCAGTTCTCCAGGTCCCCCAGGATCCCCCTGCGCCCTGTGTGCCAGTCGTCTCCCGTGGGGCATGGCTCTGCTGTTTTAGGCAAACTCCATGTCTTTTTCTCCCAGGTATCTGACCTGGGCTTGGAAACTCTGGTACATTTCCCTGCCCAGTACTTGAATCTTTTCATAAAGAAGCTTTGTTTCTTGGGTTGGAAGAGGACTGGGGCCTGGGAGAGAGGGTTTTCTAGGGTGGGCTGAGGATGATCGACACTTTCTCCCTCTGACGTGGCCTCCTGGGTGGGTGGGACCTTCTGCCCTGCCCAGCCACTCCTGTCCTTGGAAGGCTGCAGACACCCTGGCCACCGCCCTTAAAAAGGGACAGGTGAGCCTGCCCAGCTCTGTCAGAGTGACTCTTTGGAGAACACTCTGCTTGGGGAAGCTGGGGAGAGGGCCACCCTGTGGGGCAAAGATGACCTTGTGTGTCCAAGTAGTGGTCATAGACCTTCCCGTCACTGATTTATAGTGCATGGGTCCGGGCCAGTGCCCAGGACGGGCAGCTTGTGGTTAAGAACAGCTCCTGCAGTGTTGTATGAGGCACCTTGTTCCCTGCTCCGTAGCCTGCAGCCCTGTGTAAACCTCTGCATGCCTGGGGAGGTACCCTGTCGCTAGGACTTGCTACAAGGTTTCCCGCCTGGGGCTGGGTGTGGTGGGTACACAGGGGCCTGGGGATCCAGCCTCATCAGCCTCTGGTTTGGGGTTAGATGTCTACACTACGCAGCGGTCGAAAGAAGCAGCCTGCCAGCCCTGATGGTCGCACCTCACCCACCAATGAAGACATTCGTTCCAGTGGCCGCAACTCGCCCAGTGCTGCCAGCACCTCCAGCAATGACAGCAAAGCGGAAACAGTGAAGAAGTCCGCCAAGGTCAGAGGCTGGGAGCGGAGCTGCTGGGGGCTGAAGCTCACTCGGGCAGAGGTGGAGGAGCAGGGGGAGACCAGGGCCTAGAAAAAGGCACCGCTCAGCCACCAGCATTGTCCCTTGGGAACCCCTGTGCCTTCTGCAAGCTTCCCGAGGCTTCAGGCAGGCCAGGGAGGGTGACTGGGAAGGCTCTCTGCCAAAGAGCTGAGCTTCCACCCCCAGCACCTATCCCTTCCTGACCCGGGGCCCTCCCTGAGCTTGGTTGCTTTTGGAGACAAGCTCAAAGTGAGGGACCCAGGGACCCACACGAGTCGTCCTCTCCTGAACTGCCCCTGCAGAAGGTGAAGGAGGAGGCCTCGTCCCCTCTCAAGAGCACCAAGCGCCAGCGGGAGAAGGTAGCCTCTGACACAGAGGAGACTGACAGGACCAGCTCCAAGAAGACAAAGACCCAGGTGAGCCGGCTCAGCAGCCGCGCAGCCACCTGCAGCCTGGTCTGCCCAGGAGCAGGGCCCAGTCTCCAGGGAGAGCTGGGGCTCAGGTGGGGACAGTGCAGAGTGGGAGCCAAGGGGCCCGAGGTGGGCCTGGGCCCAGGGCCATGCCAGCTGCTGCTCCATGTGGCTTCCTCGTGCTGGACACCTGCAGCACGGACTGAGGGCACTGTCCCCTTCTCTGGCTGTAGGAGGTCAGCCGGCCCAACTCGCCCTCCGAAGGGGAGGGTGAGAGCTCCGATAGTCGCAGTGTCAATGAGGAGGGCAGCAGTGACCCCAAAGACATCGACCAGGACAATCGCAGCACGTCCCCCAGCATCCCCAGCCCTCGGGACAACGAGAGTGATTCGGACTCATCTGCTCAGCAGCAGCTGCTGCAGGCCCAGCCCCCGGCTCTGCAGGCTTCCCCTGCGGCTCCCCCAGGCACAGCCCAGCTCCCCACCCCAGGACCCCCACCCCCCACTACTGCGGTCCCTTCGCAAGGCTCCCCAGCAGCTGCACAGCCCCCAAATCAGCCTCAGGCTCCCCCGGCACCAGCCACCCATACCCACATCCAGCAGGCACCTGCCCTGCACCCCCCACGGCTGCCCTCCCCACACGCCCCACCCCAGCCATTGAGCGGGGCTGCTGGCCAGGCACCCACGGCCCACGCGCAGCCATCCCTGCACAGCCAGGGTCCACCCGGCCCTCACAGCCTGCAGACTGGGTCACTGCTACAGCAGCACCCCGGTCCTCCTCAGCCCTTTGGCCTCCCTCCCCAGGCCTCCCAAGGACAGGCTCCCCTGGGATCAGCCCCAGCCACAGCTCACCCACATGCCACCCTGCAGCTCCCAGCCTCGCAGTCAGCGCTGCAGCCCCAGCAGCCCCCCAGGGAGCAGCCCCTGCCACCGGCACCCCTGGCCATGCCTCATATCAAGCCCCCTCCCACCACACCCATCCCCCAGCTCCCCGCACCGCAGGCCCACAAGCACCCGCCCCACCTCTCCGGGCCCTCACCCTTCTCCATGAATGCCAATCTGCCACCCCCGCCGGCCCTGAAGCCCCTCAGCTCCCTGTCCACGCACCATCCTCCCTCTGCCCACCCCCCACCCCTGCAGCTCATGCCACAGAGCCAGCCCCTGCCCTCCTCCCCAGCCCAGCCCCCTGGGCTCACCCAGAGCCAGACTCTGCAGCCCCCTTCCTCTGCCCACCCCCCAGCCAGCCTCCACCAGGTGCCCCCGCAGTCCCCCTTCACCCAGCACCCCTTTGTCCCTGGGGGCCCCCCACCTATCACACCCCCCACATGCCCACCCACCTCCACCCCACCTGCAGGCCCCAGCACCTCTGCCCAGCCACCCTGCTCTGCCACCCTGCCTTCAGGGGGCAACACACCCGGAGCAGCTCCTTGCCCGCTCCCCACTGTCCAGATCAAGGAGGAGGCTCTGGATGATACCGAGGAGCCCGAGAGCCCTCCTCCCCCACCAAGGAGCCCGTCCCCTGAGCCCACCGTGGTGGACACCCCCAGCCACGCCAGCCAGTCGGCCAGGTATTGGCTGCCAGGGGTCTGGGCACAGGCGGGCACCGCGGCTGTGGCACGGTGGTGGGCCAAGGCATTGGCAGCTGCCCGGTCACCGATGCAACCTTTTGTAGGTTCTACAAACACCTGGACCGCGGCTACAACTCATGTGCGCGGACAGATCTGTACTTCATGCCCCTAGCCGGGTCCAAGCTGGCCAAGAAGAGGGAGGAGGCTGTTGAGAAGGCCAAACGGGAGGCAGAGCAGAGAGCCCGCGAGGAGCGGGAGCGCGAGAAGGAGAAGGAGAAGGAGCGCGAGCGGGAGCGCGAGCGGGAGCGGGAAGCCGAGCGCGCGGCCGTGAGTGCCCAGGGAGGGCTGGGCTGGGCGTGCAGGGGGCAGTGGCCAGCGCTGGGGCTTTACCGGTGTCCACCTTCCCAGGGCGACGTGTCACACAGTGGACACAGGGCCCCTCAGGCCGGGGCCGCTGCTCCAGCGGTGCTGTCCGGAGCGTTTAGCTGGCTCTGTTCTTTAGGATCACTCCCCGCCTGCCTGTCCTGCTCACAGACGTGGCCACAGCGGGGATCTAGGAGAGGCATGGGGGGGACTGCATCCTGGTGCCAGGCCAAGGCTGGGCCTCTGTCTCCATCTTGGGTCTGGGAGCTGCCCTGGTGCAGGAAGGCAGCTGGGTGGGACCTTGTGTTCGGCTCCAGGCCCACATGTCCATCCAGGAGCTTGGCCCCTGTGCCTCACACCCACTTTCCTTCAGCAGAAAGCATCTAACTCTGCGCATGAAGGCCGCCTGAGTGACCCCCAGCTCAGTGGTCCTAGCCACATGCGGCCCTCTTTCGAGCCACCTCCGACCACCATCGCCGCTGTGCCCCCTTACATCGGGCCCGACACCCCTGCTCTGCGGACACTGAGCGAGTATGCTCGGCCCCACGTCATGTCTCCCACCAACCGCAATCACCCTTTCTACATGCCCCTGAACCCCACTGACCCCCTGCTGGCCTACCACATGCCTGGCCTCTACAACGTGGACCCCGCCATCCGGGAGAGGGAGCTCCGGGAGCGGGAGATCCGCGAGCGCGAGATCCGGGAGCGCGAGCTGCGGGAACGCATGAAGCCAGGCTTCGAGGTGAAGCCCCCGGAGCTGGACCCCCTGCACCCGGCCACCAACCCCATGGAGCACTTCGCGCGGCACAGTGCCCTCACCATCCCCCCCTCGGCCGGCCCTCACCCATTTGCCTCCTTCCACCCGGGCCTGAACCCCCTGGAGCGGGAGAGACTGGCCTTGGCGGGCCCCCAGCTGCGACCCGAGATGAGCTACCCCGACAGACTGGCTGCCGAGCGTATCCACGCCGAGCGCATGGCGTCGCTCACCAGCGACCCCCTGGCCCGGCTGCAGATGTTCAACGTGACCCCGCACCACCACCAGCACTCCCACATCCACTCCCACCTCCACCTCCACCAGCAGGACCCCCTGCACCAAGGTGGGTGCCCTGCCGGCACATGGCACGCAGCCCCGGGTCCTGGTGGGGCTCTGCGCTCTGCATTCACCCGTACTCTGGGTCCTGCTTCCTCGAGGGCGGCCCTGGGCCCTGCCGGGCCTCAGCTTCTGGGGCTGAGTCAGAAAGCCACAGCAGCCTCCCTGGGAGGCCAGGGTCTTGGGCAAGGCGCAGGGCAATGATCGGTCCTCTCTGGGCAGCAGTGTGATGCCTGTGGCTTTGGATCGAGGGGTGTGCAAGTCCAGCATCGGACGCTCAGGGAAGCTGTGGGCCCGCCGTGGAGTGGGCGTTCCTGAAGGCTGGTGGCCCAGCCAGCCTTGGAGGCCGATGCAGCTAGGCACTGCAGCATGGGGAGCGCAGGGTGGGCTGTGGTAGGGCTGGCCGGGGAGGGAGGCCACATCTGGGTCACCTGCCTCTCACCCTCAAGGACCTCAGGGTACTGGGCAGGCCAGGACCACAGCCAGGTGGGCTTCGTATCAGGCCAGGCACTGGCAGCAGAAGCTTGTACAACAGCCGAAGCCCGAGACCGGCCTGGGGGAGGGTGCAGCACGGCCCACCATGCACGCCTCCACCTGAGCTCCCTCCCTCCTCCAGGCTCAGCAGGCCCGGTTCACCCCCTGGTTGACCCTCTGACTGCCGGCCCCCACCTGGCTCGCTTCCCTTACCCACCTGGCACCCTCCCCAGCCCTCTGCTGGGTCAGCCCCCCCACGAGCACGAGATGCTGCGTCACCCCGTCTTCGGTAAGTCACGGGCAGGCCCTTCGGGGCCAGCCCTGAACCAGCCTGGGTTTGCGCCAGGGTTTTTGTGGGGTCGAGGCAGGCTTGGGGTGAGGAGTGTCCCAAGTGTGTGGGGTGGGTCGGCCGGGACATGGAGGGCGCCTGGTTTGCCCATCTCTAGCCAGCAGCACGTGGCTGCCGGACCAGCTGGTGCCTCTGAAGCCTTCGCTGGTCACTGAATAACGCCATCTTCATCTGGCCCGCTTGCTGGCTGTTGGTACAGTGAGCTGTTTGTGCTTGACAGGAACCCCCTACCCCCGAGACCTGCCGGGGGCCATCCCGCCCCCCATGTCAGCAGCCCACCAGCTGCAGGCCATGCATGCCCAGTCGGCTGAGCTGCAGAGACTGGCCATGGAGCAGCAGTGGCTGCACGGACACCCCCACATGCACGGTGGCCACCTACCGAGTCAGGAGGATTATTACAGGTGAGAGGAGGGGCGAGGGAGGCCGTGTGTGCTGGGGGGAAGGGGGCTGCAGGACAAGGAGGTGCCCCGGCCCGGGCCTCTGGCCTGGGGTACGAGGCAGGCTGGGAGGTGGCCTGCCTGTCCGCCGCTTGGCCCGCCCGGTGCCTGACTGACTGCTTTTCCTTCCTTTCAGTCGACTGAAGAAAGAAGGGGACAAGCAGTTATAAGTTATTTATTTGTTAATGCTGGCTGTGGAAACCCCAATTCTTGGGGGGAGAAGCAGGACTTTTTACATACAGTAGGAGCGACAAAAGCAAAAGACGTATCTTCTAAAGATTTCTTTATATATTTAAAAACCCCACAACAGAAATGTATCACATACTAGTGTTCGTTTGTCGAGAGGCTTTCCTGAGACTGGTGTGGGTCTCCCTGCATGACAGTCCCCCAGAAACGTAGTGAGTCCGGACATCCGACCCCTGTGCGCGGCCACTGCCCTGCTCCCCAGCGCCCCCTGGTGCTAGAGCCTGTGCGCAGCGCGGACGCGCTGGGGCCTGTGGGCTCTGACCGCGGGTTTGCAGATGGGCAGTGTAGGAGTTTGCAATCCAAGAGCTATAATTTTTAAAAGAATCTTTTATTTTAATACATTGTAGGAAATCTTCATAATTTGGGAAAGTTCTGCAGCATGGCTTTCTATGTCTGTAAATAAATAATTTTAGAACAACCCTCTTTTCCTTCCACAAACTACTGTTCTATTTTTTCCAGCCATGCCACTAATTATGAATTCCTACCAGCTATCGACAGAATGCAGAGTTGATTTTTTAATAAAAAGTTATATATAATTATCCCTTTAATTAAAGGGAGCCGATGGGTGTTACTAGTTACACACCGACCGGCAGGAGCTCGGGACCAGGTCGGTCACAGCAGGAGCACGGGGCTGGCAGGGCGGCGCTGGGAGCCCTGACTGCCGCTCGGCTGTTCGGCTGGCCGCCTGCCCCGTGCCTCTCCCACTGTACACGGTGTACAGGAGTCCAGTGTGTGCTGTCTAGCCGCTGCTGCCTGCCTGTCCTGTCCTGTGGGGTGGAGGCGCATGTGTGCATGTGTCTGATGGTAGATGTCCTTAGAGACTTCAGTGCACACATGTGTGATTGTTCTGGATAAATTGCCTTTTTAATACTCTGAAATTTCCATAAACAATCAAGAAATTTCAAAAAAATGATTCCATACAGATAGTGCAGGAAAGACCCAGGACATGACGCTTGCCAAAGGATCAGAAAGCAGCCTGCCCGAGTGTGTGGCCACAGACAGAGGCCGTGACCCTTGGCCAGTCCAGACTCAGTGAGCACTGGCCCGGGAAGCCACTGGAGCCCCTCTGCGGTGGCACGGGTGTCCAGACAGGCGCCTGTGGGTGAGGCAGGCTGGGCAGGGGTGGGGGGCAGGTCACCCTGGCCGGCGGCTGACCTGCAGCCCACACTCTGGCTTTCTAGCAGGACCGTGTCGGTTTCGGTTGGGACAGATAGGATTGTTCGGTTTGTTGAAAATGTTTGTAGTTTGGTTTCTGTTGTTTTCCTCTCACTCCATTTCTGCCTTAACCTTGGTTCCTGCGGGGGGCAGGGGCGAAGGGCGAGGTCGGAGGCACTGGCCGAGGCTCCCAGTGGGTGTGGGCGCAGGCTGGCTGGCGGGGCTGGGCACTGTGCCCAGGCTGAGGCTGGCTCTGCCCACGGGTGCCCCTTTCCTCTCCCCTCTCGGTGGAACAACGTCCACTGTTCAGTCGGAACTGGCTCTCCTCTGTCTCCCTTTTTGCAAAGAAGAGGAAGGTACAGACTTGGAGTCTGTACTTGAAAGCCTTGCATCTAGGGTTCTGCACCCTGCACCCGCCGTGATGCCACTGCCTGTTTCCCTTTGCTCTTCCTCCCCCTTCCGTCTGTCTGTCCATCTGAAGTTCAGTTTGCTTTCTGTGTTTGTATGCGTCTGGCTCCACCGTCGCCCAGGTCAAGCTCCCTTTGTCATGGCGGCAGAGCGGCGCCCGTTCTGATTTGCTACGTTTCTATCTATCTATCTCGAAGCTAAGTGTATATACGAGTAGTTCGCCATGCGGTGACACAGTGTAAACAGTAGACACCCAGAAATCGTGACTTCTGTGTTCTCTCCATTTGAGTATTTTGTAATTTTTTTGAAATATTTGTGGACATTAATAAAACCAAGCTACACTACTACATCTGTGTGGGCCAGCGTACTGTCTTGCTGCTGGGGACCTGAGTCCTTCCAGCACAGAGAATGCCCCCCACCCACTGCACTGCTCAGGACTGGCCCCTGCTGCAGCCCAGAGCACCTGCTGTAAGGCGCAGCTGTGGCCACAGGGGGCAGGAGTCCCTGGGTGGAGGACACCTATCACCCAGAAGGAAGGTGCCAAGGGTGGTGGGGACTCAGGCAGGAGCAGGGCAGAGTGTGGCCTGGCTAGCAGCCCTCACTGGTCCTGGGCTGCTGTGTTAGGGGGAGGAGAGCAGAGTTTGTGGGGACCAGTGCTGCCTGGTCAGTGCAGGTCATGCATCAGGAGCCTGCAAGGCCACTCCTGTGAACTAGATGTCGAGAAACCTGCCTGAAGGCAGGGGTGATCAGGCCCAGGACACAGGAGAGTGGCGCAGTGATTCCCGGCTTGAGGGCAAGAACAGGCCTGAATGGTCATGGCTGCCTTGTTGTGGGTTCCAACAGGAGCCCTGTGTGGCTGCGGACAAATCAGGACTGCCGCTGGGAACACAGACAACCCCACTTTGGGTGCACAGCCAACTACACAGGATCCATGCCAGAGATGCCCACTCCCTGTGGGCGCTGCAGCACAGGCCCTCCAGCCATGCTGGAGAATCAGCCCCGGGGGCTGCTGCCAGTGGAATGGGTTTTCTCAGCACGGTGTGTGCATGGTGGAATGGTATTCAGCCATAAAAAGGGTGGGCCATGGCACAGTGGGACCCGGGGACATAGTCTAGCTCAGTAAGAAGACACAGGCAGACTGGAGGAAAGGGGAGGGGTTGGCTCATAAAAGTTAGGGTGCAACCTGAAAAAAACAGTGGAAAGCAGAGGTTTCCACATATGCCAGGCAGAAAGGCCCTGTGTCCAGATCCCATCGCTACACACTAGCTATGGGCCTCAGGTCTGCTGTGCTCTGCAAATGCCACAGGGCATGGCCCGTTTTTCAGGCTGATGGCGAGGCAGGGCTGGGTCCATCCAGGTCAGGGCCTTGCTCATGGCCACAGGTGGAGACGCAAGGACCTCAGCCCACAGGGTCTCCCTCCCCAGGCTCAGCATGGCAGAATCAGATGGGACCTGTTAACCCAGACACCCAGAACTTGGGCCAGTAGGCCCTCCCAATCAGGCCAAGTACCGGTCCTGCTCCAGGCCACAGGGTGTGTCTGCCTCCCCAGGGAGACCTAGCAGCACTGCAGGCGGGCAGTTCAGGGAGCCCTGGTCAGAGGCAGGGCCTGCTGGGAGCCAGGCACAGTCACAAGAGAAACGATGGCCCCTGGGGGTCCAAGAGCAGCCCCCGGAACACCTGTCCTCCCTGGGTCTCCTGACAGGTCACCTCTTCACTTCTTGGGGTCTCAGACTCGGCCCTTTCTTTCCATGTGTGCTGTCTGCGTTATGGCCGTCTGAGAGCGCTGGCAGATGAGCCACGGCTAGGAGTGACAGCCATTTCCTTGGGACACGTTGACTCCAGGCTATAGAAGCCGTCCTGTCGGACAGCAAGCTCTGTAGGGGCATGGCTCCCCCCATCCCCTGGGCACCTCACTGCTGGCCCAGGCTGAGCGAGTGGGTGGATGGGTGGACGAGCAGGTGGACCCTGAAGAAGGTGGCCAGAGTCTCCAATGTGGCACTGGGGGTAGGCACAAAGGACCGGACTGGGGCCTTTTACCCCAGTCTCACTGTCCAGTCTCACTGCTGTCACCTCCCCTGGCCTCTGCTGCCCCATGTGTCCAGCTCTGGGGATACCATGCTTGGGTCTGGGGGATTTTGGAGCTTTTCACACAGCGTGTGGTGAACTAGACTGGGAGCAGCCTTGTAAGACCTGTGTGGGCCAAGGAGGCCTCCAGAGGCCGTTGGGCTGTGCGAGGCCATAGGCCTTTTCACTCCGGAGCCCTCTGCTCCTCAAACGTAGGCGCTGCCCCTTGCCCCACTGCAGAACGGGGTCCACCCCCAGACCTGGCCACCAGGTGGCAGTGCTGACCGCCTGAATGCCTGTGACCCCTGGAGGCCCCTGAGACTCCAGGGAAGAAGGAGGTGTAGATGTGACAGGGACCAACTGCTTGGGGGTAGGCAGGCAGGGTGGTGAGAGGAGGTGGAGGCTTTGGAGACGGAGTTCTGTCTCTAAGATCTCGATTTAAGCACAGCTGGCACCCAGAAAATGCTCCGAGTGGCTGCACACCGACCTGCATATGGGGTGGCCAGGGTCCGCTGTATGGAGCACTGGTGCCACCCGACCCAGCCTGCTGTGCTAGGAGTGCCAACAGATAGCTGAGCTGTTGGCTTCCCCTCAGTGGTTCTAGGCACCAGGGGAGAGCCAGCTTCGCCAGGGGAGCTCCAGAGTGGAGCGGCTCGCCGTTACCTGGTGCAGCTTTGGCTCGGGTGCCAGAGAGAGCGAGCTCAGCCTGCGGCCTGGGGCATGCACTGTCTTCCCTCCCCTCGTTGCTCCTCCGCCTGAAGCTAATGCCATCTCCCTGGCAGCCTACAGAGCCCAGGGGACCAGGGCCCAGCCCATGCAGGGCTCAGCCTGGGAGAAGGCCCCCCACTTACCCAGAGGCGCTAGGAGCAGCGTCTGCAGCCTGGTATGCCGGCTCTGAGCCACACCTGTGCACTGGCCACTGGGGCCCCGAAAAGGCTGGGAACCCAGGTCACCACACTTCCTTCACCTGGGCCCTGGGGGAAGGCGCTGGAGGGTGCCACAGGCCTCCCTTGTGCTCTGGGCAGGGGTAGCTTTCCCGGGATCTCCCCATAGAGGTGGGAAAGAGGCCGCAGCTGCCACTTCCAAGGCTCTGGGGAGAAGGCCCGGTGTCACCCTGGGGGAAAGCCTGGGACTAGGAGCCTGGGTCCAAGGGGCCACCTGACAAGCCAGGGGGCAGCCTGCCTCCAGCCCAGGGGCCACTTGAAGGCAGAGAACCAGTGACCCCACTGGGCAAAGTCAGGTGGGGACCCAGGCTTCGGAGGCACAGCAGGGCGAAGCATCTGGGGTCCAGCAGGCCCTGGCAGTGGCACTGAGATAGGTGGCCACGGTGCATCACAGAGGCCATGGCTCCGCCCCGCATCCCCTAACGGCTACAGAGCACTGGTTCATGAGCTGGACCCCTGAGCTGGAGCTGGTGGTGGACTCGACTTCTGAGGCTGGTGTGACCAGGGGTGTCTCTCATGATCCCTAGATACAGAGACTATGCCCAAGTTGCTGGGGCTACATGGCCACAAGCTGGCCAGGGTCCCTTCATGAGGTGCCCCTTTGTCCTGGACACCACAACAGCGTGTAGGAAGCAGATCAGAAGCTGCCCAGCTGCCAGGGCCTGGCCCACAAGGGAGGCCCTGGGAGCCCACGGGGCAGTTCTGAGACAGGGTGGGGCACCTGCCCAAGAGCAAAGAGGCCTCCACTGGGCTGAGGCCCACCTTCAGGCCATCTTGGTGCCTGCAGTCTCTCCAATACGCCAGGACAGGCCCTGCCCAGGCCCAGCTCTGCAGCCTTCAGCCCCAAAGACCCTGCCTGGGTGCCCAGAGCGCTACCTGCCATCCCATCTGTCCTCCCATCGGTTCTCCTTGGTGGGGACTTGTTGCTCTGAGACGAGTCCCCAGTACTGCCACAGGCAGGGCACAGGCTGGACACCTTCCAGGCAGATGGGTGGACTGGGGTAGGTGTGCCGTCTTCCTGTTGCTGACGAACTCCCTGAGGCTGCCATCAGGAAGCATGTGTGCTTTTCACTAGTGGTTTCGGTCCCTGGCCACTTGGCCCTGCTGCTTTGGCCTGTGGCAGCTTAGACACCGTGGCCACGCAGGAGGCAGCTCACCTCCCCACCCAGCCAGGAAATAGACAGGGAGGGCTGTGCCTCCCCGTCCCCCAGTGACCTCACTTCCTGTAGGAGTCCTTGCCTCTTAAAGGTCCCCTCATTTCTCCATTACACCAGAAGCTTCGAGCCAAGCTTTCAGCATGTGGGCCTTTGAGGGACATTTCAGTTCCAAACTCAGCAGACAGGTGGAGGGAAGGAGAGAAGGAGCGATGGCAGAGGAGAGGGAGGATAAATGGAAGGCTGGGCGGATGGGTGGATGGATTGATAGGAGGATGGTGGATGGATGGCAAGGACGGATGGATCAATATGGATGAGTGGATGAACGAATGGAAAGATGGGTGGATGGGTGATGGACAAATGGATGGGAGGATTGATGGGTGCAGGATAGGGAGTGGTCAGTGGATACAAGAATGAACGAGTGGGTGGCAAGCCCTGCACGGCAGCCCTGTGGTGCAGAGTGGGGAATGTGTGGCCCCAGGAGACGGGGTGTCCTTCCCTCAGCACTGCCGGCATCTGGGCTCCCCTGGGGGCGCTGCCCGGTGTGTTGCAGGGTGTTTGCAGCATCCCTGGACAGTGATTGTGTCCTGCCAAGTTGAGTTGTGAGAACCCAAAGCATGGCCAGCCACCAGCAGATGCCCTCCCAGGGGAAGGAAGGGATGGCACCATCACCCAGGACTGAGAAGCACAGGCCCCACCTGACCATCTCCCCTGCCCAAGTCCCGGGGATCAGGGAGTGGAGTCCAGGCCCTGTGACCTTGCACCCGCCCTCTGACAGCTGCTGGAGGCCACAGGCTTTTCTGCTGTCCTTTATTTTACCCAATATTTACATTCCAGGGAGCCCGCCCTCAGGTCTCAGGTGCAGGCACAAGCCCAGAGTCGAGATGGCGGGCATCAGACGTTCAGCAGGAGGGGCTGGTGCTCCTCGTCCCCTGCGTCCCCCGGGGGGATCTCATAGATTACAAACAGAGAAGAATACACACAGCCCAGGAAGGACACGAGACTGGAGAAGTACATCACCCCGCTGGCGCTGCCCACAGCTGAGGTCAGCGGCCCTAGTACCAGGGAGACCAGGATCTGGGCCAGGAAGTACTGGCAGCTGAGCAGGGAGATGTCCACGCCCATGCCGCGCCTTGAGCCATCTGCACTGGACCCTGCGAACTGCCCAGAGGGGAGGCGTGAGCCAGGCTAGGGCAGGCCCCCGCTGGGTGACCGTACCCCCCACTTGTTCCCCTGGGTCATTGGCACAGGGCTCAGCCAGGAGGGCCCCGCGCCCACGTTTGTATTTAGAGAGATGATAACAAAGATCTGTGATCAGCAGGGGAGCACTGGTCACACTCTCACCCGCGTGCTGACCCAGAGAGACCCTGCACTCCTGCAGCCACCCCAAGCCCAGGGCTTAGCACAGCACTGGCCCCGTACCATGGCTACTGAGGTGTCAAATCAGTGCCACCCCAGGACTCTGGCGGGGCCTGTGCCCCTGGTGACCGGTGTCCAGGTCACCCTTGGCCTGCTAAGTCCTGGGGAAGCCTAGGAGCCCCCCGTGAAGGGCCTGTGGGGTACTTCCTGTGGGAAGGGACAATACACTGTTCTGGATGGGGTGACCATCTGCCCAGGGAAGAGGATGTGGGGTCCAGGGGACCAATAGTCCTTGCAGCCACCCTCCATCTCCTGTGCAGCCACCCAGCCCAGAGGGGCAGTCACACACCACCAAAGATATTCGGCCACCCTGACCCAGCGCCCAGGAGATTCCAGTCAGACCCAGGCAACTCAAGCAGGACCGGGCAGCCGGCAAGGGTGCTGGGCACTCAGCACTCAGCAGGGCAGTTTCTTCCCTTCCTGCTCTCCGTCTTTCCTTCCTTCTTTATGTGTTGGGAACTGAACCCAGGACTTGTGCTTGCCAGGCAAAGGACAAGGTCGCTGCCACGGAGGCATACTGCAGCCCTTTCCTTGACTGCTAAGCTGCCCAGGCTACCCTCTAGTGTGTGATCCTCCTGCCTCAGCCTCCAGACCAGCTGAGATGACAGGTGTGTGTCCCCATGCTCAACTAAGCAAGGAGATATTTTAAAGCAGCATTTCCAAATTATTGCAAAAAATGCACGGTGGGAGTTGGGTGTGGTGGTGCACCTGAATTCTAGCACTTCGAGGCTGAGGCAGGAGGGTGACAGGAGGCCAGCCTGGGCTGCATAGTGAGGTTCTGTCTAAAAAAAAATACCCATGGTGGGACTGCTATGCGGTCATCCAAAGGGATGAGGCATGGACGTGGGCTCCCCTAGGCTCAGTTGTGGAACCACTTTGTGGCATTGTCCCTTTGAGGCACAGGTGGTGGCCGCCCTGAGGCCCGATGGCTAAAGGGGTTTTCCTGGGGGTGACATGTGCCTTCACGCTGATTGTGGCGATGGTGGCAGAACCTAAGTGCCCCAAGCCGGCTGAGCCGCATGCTTCCCGGGCTGCGCTGGGGCGTCATGGGGTCATCGCAGCTCACGGCTGGCACGGGGAATTGGCTGGTGTCTTACCCCGCCCAGACATTCAGCACTAACGCTGCCTGTTCTGTCCTGTGTGCTTGTGTGTGGACTCCCAGAGCCTGTGCCACATTCCCCAGACTTTTATTTTCTATTTTGAGACAAGGTCTCGCTACACTACTAAATTACCCAGAAGGCGGGGGATATAAACTCAGCGGCATAGCACCTGCCTGGCAAGCACAAGGTCCTGAGTTCAACTTCTGACTCCAATAAATAAATACAAAATAAATTGCCCAGGATGGGATGCAGTTTGATACCCTTCTGCCTCCGCCTCTTCAGTGCTGGGATTGCAGGCGTGCGTCACCACGCCTGGCTGGTGGAGGCTGTTAAAGGCTCGGCTGCTGAGTCTTCGGTGGGCACAGTCTGGGCTCCTGAGCCTGCCCTGACTGCCACGTGGCCTCCCCTCCCCGGTGGCTGCTGGGGAAGGGCCCGGAGGGGCTGGGCGCGGCGCTCACCGTCTGGCTCTGGTAGTAGTCACACAGCAGTGAGTAGGGCAGCGTGCACAGCGTGGAGAACAGCACCCCGTAGGTGGTGCAGAGCGCCAGGATCACGTAGAGGTTCCTGGAGAGCGTGGCCAGCCCGGTGCCCAGGCCGAAGGCAAGGTAGGCAATGAAGTAGAGGGTGCGGGTGCTCAGGCACCCTTCCAGCTTCTCCAGGAGGGCTGCGGGTGGGCGGGCAGGTGGGGCAGGTGAGGGCCGAGGCTGCATCCCCGCGCTGCCTCCCTGGGCCCCGGACCAGAAGGCACCAAGGGGCTGCAGGACCCAGCTCCCCCTGCCACAGCCCCTCGTCCACTGGCTGGCGTCATCTTTACAGCTGCTGAGCAGCACCGAGTGACCGTGGGGCAGCATGGGGCAGATGGCACAGAGTCACTGCCGTGTCCTGAGGCCACCAGGACCCAACACTGCAGGTGCCCACGCCAGGGACACGTGAGTGACAGCCAGGCCCTCACACTGCCAGGCAGGGCTCCCCCGAGGGCTACACCCGCGCCCACGCTTATGTCCCAGTCTCCCCTGGCCACCTCCCCGCAGAGGGACAGCTGTCTGCTTGGGGCCCAGGCTCACTGGCGGAGAAGGGGACTCAGCGCTGCACACGCCACTTCTTGAGGGCCTTGGAGTTTGAGGTGGGGGTGGGGGGAGCAAGTGGCTCTGGATTTAGAGACAGGAGGACGGAGGATGAGGAGGTATCGAGACGAGATTTTCTGACCGCTGCGCCCGTTCCGGGGCCTGGGCAGCTTGGGGACCTGGCCTGCTGGTTCCCCCTGGCCTGGGTGGACTTGGCCTCCCCCTGGCTGCCAGCCCTGGGATGGGATGGCCGAGACATAAACCTGCCCGCCTGCCCTCCCCGCCCAGCAGCTGTGAGGGCTGGGAAGGGACAGCAGTGCCCCACGCAGGCCCGGTCACCGCGCCCCGCAGGCACCTGAGTAGAGCGCGGCACTGAAGGCGTAGACGCACATGCCCCAGCAGCCCATGGTCACCCCGCTGTTGTACTTCCGGTACTCCTCGGATGCGTGCGGGGCCTTGGGGTCCCCCTGGAACACCACCTCGCCCATGAAGTCGGTGTAGAAGAGCAGCATCCCCTCGAAGGACAGCCAGCCTGGCGGGAGGGCAGTTCTGAGCACCCTGGGGTGCGGGGCACTCTGTACCCCGGGCCCTCGGTCCCCACTTCGGTCTCCAAAGCTTTCTCAGAGCACCGAGCCACTCCCGCTGGGGGAGGGAGGGGTGCACATAGCACCCCCAGCCCTAAGAGGTGACCGGCTGCCCCAGGGGATAAACAGACTCTGTTGCAGTGTGGCCCAGCCTCCCCGTGCGCTCAGCTCACAGCGACCCTGAATTCTCTGCTCTCAGTCCCAGCGCCTCTGACACCTTGAGACCTACAGTGGCCCCGGCCACTTCCACATCGCCTCTCACAGGAGGGGCGACCCTGCATCACCTCAACGCCCAGCGCCCTGGCCACTCAGGGACACCAAAGTTCGGGGACATGGAGGGGTGGAAGGCAAGCAGAGTCCCCGGAGTCCCCTGAACTCAAGGCCCCCCCAGACACAGGAGCTTTAAAATTGGCCATGGTGACACCCAGGCTCCAAGAGGGGGACACGGGAGGAGACAGGGTCTGCCGTTCTGGGGCTGGGACTGCGTGGGTGCCCCCAGCCCAGGGCAGGCTGCGTGTCCCTCTGCTGTGACAGCTGGCTTGCCTGTCCCCCTTGCTGGTGTCCAGAGCTGGGAAGTTGGGGAGCCCCCGAAGCCGGGCCTGCGCCCACCCCGCTCCCCGGCGAGCTCACCCAGGAAGTGGTTGACACACAAGTTGCGCAGGGCCTTGGGCATGTGGCAGATGGTGGCGCAGAGGCGGCGCAGGGACAGGGGCTGCTCGGCCGGCTCTCCGGAGCCTGTCAGCTTGCTCTCATACTTCACGCCGGTGAGCAGGATGTTCGCAACCTGCAGGGCCACAGCGCCGTGAGCGCCCGCTCGGGCCGGGGCCAGGTAGTGGGTGGACCATGCGCCCACCAGGAGAGGCCGGTGGGCCTGAGACCCCCAGCCCCCATGAAGTAGGGCTTCACCGTTCTCTGCCAGGGAACCCAGGTCTGGCCACAAGGGAGGTGCTGATCCTGTGCAGAACAAGAGCCGGGCATGGCGGCACGGGCCGTTACCCGGGCACTGTGGGAGGCTGAGGCAGGAGGATCACCAAGTTTGAGCTCAGCCTCTACAACTCTATGACCTGAGATTCTGTCTCAAAATAAAAATAAAAAGGGCTGGGGATGTAGGTCAGTGCAGAGGCCCTAGGAGAGAAGGAAGGAAGGCAGGGAGGAAGGGGGAAAGGAAGGGAGGATGAGAGGAAGGGGGAAGAGGGGAAGCCGGGCTGACTGCACCTGAACCCAGACATCACAAAGTCCCTTCCTTTCCTCGAGAGTAGGGTGTGAGCAACTGGCTTCACGCTGACTCCCCAACACCACCTGAAACCCCCACTGGGTCCGTGGGGGTCCCAAGTGGCTCCACACCCCACTGTCACAGAATGGAGGCAGCAGGTTCAGGATGGGTTTGTCCTGGGCTCGGGTCATCATCCCCCAAGGAACCTGCCCCTCCTGGAGCTCAGCTTGGGCCTGCGGACTTCAGCTGGGAGCGGACCCCTCGCTCTGCAGTGCAGCCAGCAAGAGATGAAGAGGGGGTACTGCTGGGGCCGTGGGTGTCCCATGGGAAGAGGAAGCAGGAGCCCGACCGGGTTGCCGTCCTGGGATGCCCACCTCGACACCCTGCACCTGCCAAATGATGACTGCTAGACAGCTAAAGCATGGCTGCGTCCCCACAGGACCCCAGGGGAGTCTATATTCAGCTCAAGGTTTGCGCAGGGCAGAGGGGAGAGGTTTTCAGGAACTGTATCAGAGAAGCTGGGCAGAAGTTTGTGACCCAGGACAAGACTCTCCAGGGGTGACAAAAGACCACATCAGTCACTCTGATGTCATCAGAAATGAGGATGACAGCCCAGCATGGTGACACATACCTGTGATCCCAGCACTCTGGGAGGCTGAGACAGGAGGATCACAAGTTCAAGCTCAGCCTGGACCCACCGGCGTGTCTCGTGGGCCTGGCTGCGGCTGGGTGGGCATGTTCAGGGTCAGCCAGCAGAGCCGAGCCCTCACTGGGCCACACGTCCCTCCACCGGGTGTGGGGCTGCCTCCCGACAAACTCAAGGGACGGTTTTGTAGAATTCGTGGTCCACAAACCCCAAGGACCACAGACCTTTCCTCCTGCAATGCTCCCGAGGCTGGCAGAGCACGTAGCTTAGTATGTCTTCTGCTTACTTTCTCTTTCTTCTTTCTCTTTCTCCTGGTTTTTTTTTTTTGTTTGTTTTTGTTTTTTTTTTGTCTTTTTGAGACAGGGTCTCACTGTGCAGTTCAGGCTGGCCTTAGCTCACTTTGTAGCCCAGGCTGGTCTCAAACTCAAAATGATCCTTCTGCCTCAGTCTCCCGAGTGCTGGGGTTACAGGAGTGTACCACCATGCCCAGCCCTTTCGTTCTTTCTTTTGGACAAGCTCTCCAACTGGCCTTGAGCTCACTAGCTGCCGCCGGCTGGTCCTAAACTCCTGGTCTTCCTGCCTCAGAGTCTTGAGTGCTGGGGTGACTGGTGGCCACCACCACACCCAGCATGTGTCCACATCAAATAAGAGAACAACCTTTAACCTTCTTTGGTCTAAAGAAGCCTCCTCAAGGCCATGGTTCTAGAAGCTAGTGAGGCCTCACATATTAGTACACTACTGATAACAACTTGGGCTTCCAGAAGGTTCTGTACCCTTGTGGCACGGGCTACTGCCAGGAGCTCCAGGCCTGGGCAGCCCCCTGGAGGTGGCCAGTGTCAGATGCTAGGAGAGGACCACAAGTGGGAGACCCCAGAAGGCGGCGGGCCACACACTTTGCCATCCTGTTTCCTGAAGGCTCAGATTTGCTGGTGACAGCAAGGGAGAGCTGGTGGTGCAGGGAAAGTTCTAGAAACCAGTGAAAGGAACACAGCGCAGTCTCAGACTTGCCAGAGCAGCACGCCTGCCCAGCAGCCTTTGGGAAGGAAGGCACGGTGTGCACTGACACTGGCAGCTCCTACAGAGCCCCGCCCTAGCGGGTGCCCAGGACACACACTGTCCTCTGCGGCCTGGCCTTCCGACCCCAAATAGCAGGGAGGTCAAGGACCACGAACCCCCCGTGAGGCAGGAGTAGAGCAAGGGCAAGCAGACACCATAGGACAAGAATGGAGAAGCTAGACAGGGCCAGGACGATTATGTCAAAATATCTGAAAACGCGAGGTCATGAGTTCGATCCCTGGTACCAAAAAAATTATAAATAAATAAAAATCTGAAAACCGGAGGGTAATGGTGTCCCCCTCTCCCCCAAGACCGCCAGGCACTTGCAAACCCAAAAGTTCACGGCCCTGGCCTGCATCCGACCTCATTTGCTGTCTTGACCTCCTTCCCAGCCGGCTTTGGGAGCCAAAACACTTCCTCTAAAAATCCTCCCCCTCCCAACGGGTGGGCGGGGTCAGGCACACCATTGGGCTACAACGCCTGTCCATCCCCACGTAGGCCCGCCCACAATCCCATTCCCTGAAAGACTCAGTGCTGCCTCTAGCGAGAGTGGGGAATACTTGTCCCTCGTTGCTCCCTCTCTGCACTAAGCGTCCTGGCTCAGTTCTGTGTTGAGGACACTGAGAACCTGGAAACAGCTCCCCTCAGATTCCCCCATCCGATCACACTGTGGTGACTGGGATTTCTTTCCAGATCCACTGTCCTCCTGGACCATCTCTTTTTTTCCCACTGGAACCCCGGGTCTCCCACCAACGTGCCCTGTCCCCAGCCCTTTTCATTTGTTTTGATTTTTGAAACAGGGACTCTCTAAGTTCCCAGGCTGATCCTCCTGCCTCAGCCTCCCTAGTAGCTGGGACTGCAGTGTGCACCCTGGTGCCTGGCAGCCTTGATCACCCACCTGTCATCTAACTGTAAGGCGGGGGGGGGGGGGCAACTGGACTTTCCCACCCTTGGCTTTTACCTGTTGGCTGAAGGTCACATTTCTTCTCCTGCTCGTTTCAGGGCCGCCTCCCCCAGCAGCATCGGGGAGGGCCAAGCTCTGGGGTCTCTTCAGGATCCCGGAGGCCCGAGGCTTGGGGGCATCCAGGGACCCCACCCTCAGCACGTCCCCATCGCCGAAGGCCAGGCTGCCGTCCCTGCGGTCCAGCAGCCCCCGGTCCTGATGGTAGAAGCCCTCTGGGGCCCGGGGGAAGCTGACGCTGATGGCCTGGCGGGGGACGCTGGCCGGGAGGGCCAGATAGTGGTCCTGGGCCCCCGTGAAGCAGTCGATGAGGACGCTGTCTATGTTGGAGGTGCCAAAGGAGGATGCGAACTCGCTGATGCCTGTCAGGGAGCTGTCCCTGCTGATGAGGCTGCCATACTTCGGTGTGAGCGGGCTGGGCGGGGAGATGGGCGTGGAGAAGCTGGCGTAGAGGCCGGGGGCCTCGTGGGCAGGGAGGCCCTCACCCCCAGTGTCTCCCTCCTGCGGGATGGGTGGTGACGGGGGCAGCGGGAGGCTGGGGCTCTTCATGCTTGGCCTCTTCTCCCCCGGGGGCTGCAGTGGCTGCTCAGGGATGCTGACCAGGGTCAGCACTGTGGTGATGCTCAGGGTGACTGCGGTGAAGATGTAAATGACGCGGAGCTGGCCCCCCAGCGCTCTCCCAAAGCCGGTTCTGTCCCAGTGGATTCCGCCAACTACATAGCCAAACCCTCCACCCAGACCTGGAGAGAAAAGCGGGGGTCAGCGCCCACCAGGGGCGGCCAGGGAAACTGGCTGTGCGCCTCAGAAGGATAAAGCCACAAGGTCCCCCCAGGGGTCGGGGCGCAGTGTCTGTCCCACCTCACCCCCCAAACGAGAACTGGGACTTGGATGTCTGCCATGGTGACGTGTGGCCCTGGAGCACACACCCACGCCTCCTCTGTGACCCCGATGTCCACTGTGTGTGGCCAGTGGGAAGCAGTTCTGGAAGACCATCTCCTGTGACAACCCGTAGAGAATTAGGGGAGCCCTGTCTCTCGGGGGAAACTAAGGCAGGAGGCCAGAAACCATAGGCAGAGCAAGGCCAAGTGAGCAGCACAAAGCCACGGACATTTTGACAGTCTCCCTCAGCCTGTCTGGTTTGTCCCTGGCCCCTGGGAGCGCCCTTGAAGCCTCCATAGGCCCAGAGACAGACACAGATGTGCGTGCACAGAATGTCACTGAACATGTGCACCGCTGACCCCGTCCTCCGGGTTCTATGTCTTTGGACTGAACATCTTCAGAAAAAATCCTCTCTCTTTTGGACATGAATAGACTTTCTTCCCTGTCTTCCCAAAACAACACAGTAAAGCAACTTTTTGCATAGCATGCGTACCATATTAAAACATTATAAGTAACCTAGAGGTTAATTAAAGTACTGTCTTAGGGAGGAGGGTCTAGGTTACACGTGTGTTCTGCACCTTTTCCCTCTTTTTTGGTAATTGGGGTCGAACTCACGACCTCGTGCTTGGCAGGTAAACACTTATGCTGCTAAGCTAAATCCCCACCCTTTTATTTTTCTTCCCTTGTTTTTCTTTTTCTTTTTTTTTTTTTTTTTGAGACAGGATCTCAGTATTCCAGGATTGGTCTTGAAGTCACCATGTATTCCAGGCTGGCCTTGAACTCACAGCAATTCTCCTGCCTCAGCCTCCTGCGTGGTGGGATTACAGACAAACGCTGTCACAGCCAGTCTGGGACGTTTAAATAGAGTTGGGCACCTGAAGATTTTGGTATTTGCAGGAAGTCCCAGAACCACGTCCCCCTGGCATGGAGGCCCGGCTGGACACACTCATTACACAAACATGTGTGCCCGCACGGATAGTGCTATGTTTGGGATATATTTTTTAGTCACTTGTATGTTTATCTATACGTTTGAATTTCACTGTCCTCAGGATTGAACTCACCATGTCTGCCCTAGCCACATTCTCAGCCCTTTAAAAATACTTTTAAAATTTTTGAGTTGTTAAGTTGGCCAGGCTGGGTTCAAACTTGCAACCCTCCTGCCTCAGCCTCCCAAAGTGCTGGGATTCCTGGCCTGTGCTCCCCACTGGCTTCATTAACTTCGTTTAACTCACGAGTGGAGGAGGGGTCCTCCAGTGTGTGTATCTGACAAACGCAGCCCTGTGTCCTTGAGTGCGGGGGACACTCACCCGCCAGGAGGGCGTGGATGTTCAGGCCGCGGTCCTGGTCCGCCGGGCCGCACACGTCCATCATGTAGGCGTGGCTGGGGTTGTCAGCCGAGTCGGCGCTGAAGTCCATCAGCACCACGCCGCACACAGTCAGCAGGATGCCCCACTTGTGGCTGGTGGCCGTGTCAGCCAGGGCCGTGCCGATGTCTCTGCCATTCAGCAGGAGCGAGAGGCCCAGCAGCGCCCCTGGAAGCAGAGTGATGGGGTCACCTGGGCCTCGCAGACCCGCTGTCCCCCACAGTCTACTGCCTGAGCCTAGAACCCGGGACTCGGAATCCTGCTGCACCCAAGTGGGCAGAGCCTGAGGGACGGTCACTGCAGGGCAGGGGGTGTCCTGAAGCCACAGGCGGGAAGGAGGTGGCTTTGGGGCGCCCACTTGCCTAATGTGCAGCGCTGCGGACTGGGCGCAGGGCCTCTGCACTGGGCTGCGTCTGCGTCTTCAACCCCTTTTTCCCCTTTTGATCTTGAGACAGGGTCTTGCTAAACTGCCGCGTTGCCCAGGCTGGACTCAAATTTGGACTCATCCTGTCTCAGCCTCCCAGCGTGCTGGCATCACAAGCATGCACCACCATGGCCGGCTTTAACTCATTAAAAACGTGATCAAAATGATTTACTCTCAGGGTTGACCAGGGCGGCATTGGGGCTCCCCGCCACCCCAAAAGCTAAAGCTTTAGTCATGACTTTTTTTTAACATCTTCTTAAAAGGAAATAGTTGGGGTTGCTTCGTTTTCCTTTCCTCTCCCTTCCTTTTCCTCTCTCTTCCTCTCCTCTTTCTCTCCTCTCGTTTCTGCCTGCCTCTTTTCCTTTTGTGCTTTTGTGTCCATGCCAAAACAGACCTATTGCCAGCACAAGAATGAAAGGGCGTCTCCTTCCAAACCTTGAGGTACACCGGTCACTCCAAGCGCCCAACAGAGGCTGCAGCAGGAACCCTGAAACAGAGCAGGCGGGGTCACAGGGAGGTCCCCGGGCACCTGGAGACACCCCGAGGCTCCTGCCCCAGCGCCTCAAAAGCTTAAGACTCTGAGAGAACTCGGAGTCCGCAGCAAAAGAATCACTCAGCATCTCTCAGCTTTTCCACCTGGACCCTGAAGGCACCAAGCAGCCAGGTCCTTCTTTGGAAGTTCATGAAATTCTAAGTGCTCTGGGACCCAAACCCCACTGAGCTCTGTTGCTTGGATCTTCCTGTAACAGCATGGTAGCACAGTCCTTGAGCTGGCTCAGTTCCTGTTCTGTTACCTGCTTTAGATAAAAGAACTTAAGGATGGAAGAGCCACACCTGTTTTCCTACAGCCCCACAATAACTGGGGGATCTTAAGCCTTGTTTCTCCCTTGTCCTCGGGGAAGCTTCCATAAACACCTGGAATCTTCCAGAAGCTTCCAGAAACATCTGGAATCTTCCAGAAGCTTGTAGAATGTTTTGAGTCTTCCAAGCCATATGTCTGGGGCTGAGCTGGGGCTTACCGAGGATGGGGCTGATGAACCACACGAGGCTGTAGAGCTGGTCGGGCAGGCCCATCTGCAGCAGCACTGGTGTCACATATGCCGTCTCCATGGCATAGCTGAACTCGATGCCAAACAGGACACAGCCGTTGAAGAGCAGCTCCCGGAAGGACCTTTGGGGGTGCAGGTCCCCAAAGTCCACCCGCTCGATGGGACAGGGGGTGTTGGGCGGTGGGGGCGGGGAGGGCCGGATGCACTTCCTTCTCTTGGGGTGCCGTTTGAAGTTGTTGGCCCGGTGGCTGATGTGACGGGTCACGGAGCCTGAGTAGGCCGAGACCTGCGACCTCCAGAAGTCCTGGGCAGCCACGCCGGGCAAGAGTGCCTCTCCCGGAGGGGTGCCGCTGGCCGGGGGGATCATGGCAGCGGGGGCTGCTGGGCGTCCCTGTGAGGAAAGCCGGGGTGGGCGACAGTTACCCCACCAGGGCCTGCACCACCTTGGGGTGCTGTGGCCCCTGCGCGCCCGCCACCCTGCTCCCCGGGGAAGAGCTGAGGTGACCGCCCTACACCTCAAGGTGGATGCTATCTCCGAGCTGAGCTCAGTGCCCCATCCCCACCCCACCTGGGAGGGGCAGCCGGAGCTCTGTAGGTGACCTCAGTCACTGTACAACGGCCACTCACAGGCCCAGGATGCCCAGAAGCCCATTTCCAGGGCCAGAGATAGGGACAGCAGGCAGGTGACCAGACACCCACTTCTGGGGAGGGGACAGCCATCCCTCACAGATGGACAGTCACGCTGGACGCTGGTCCCTAACACTTGTATTTAACCCTCTGGGGAGGCTCAAGACCTGCTCTCTCTCTCTCTCTGTCTCTGTCTCTCTCCTTCTTTCTTTTTTGGGTACTGGGATTGAACCCAGGGCCTTTGTCTGGTTTGGGTTTTTTAGCACTGGGGATCGAACACACAACCTCACACTTGCCAGGCAGGCGCTTATGCCACTGAGCTAAACCCCCGGCCTGAACCAGGGCCTCCGCCCTGGGCGACATCCCCAGCCGTCTTCTGTGTCTGAGGCGAGGTCTCACTAAGTCTGCTCTGGAACTTGGCGATCCTGCCTCAGCCTCCTGAGTGCTGGGTTCCTGACCCCGGCTGAGCAGGCTGGACGTGAGCCCTTTCCTTTGGCCTCAGCTGGACACAAGCCAGGTTAAAATGCTCTCTTTAGAGAAATAGGGCTGGGGCGTGGCTCTGGGGGAGAAGCTCTCCCAGCAGGCAAGAGGCCCTGAATTCCACCAATACGATAACAAAAGAAATAAAGTGAAGGGGTGAGAAGCAGACACATCCCCCATTTTAATGCATTTATTTTGAGCAACTCCCGCTGAGCCCTAACCTAGGTGGCTTTGCAGGTGCTACAGCCTAGGCGCCCTCCCCGCCCCTGAGCCCCTGTCCCAGACACCTGCCCCTGTGCCTGAAGCTGCCTTGGAACAGGGCAGGTCACCAACACCAAAGGAGCAGCATCCTAACCAATGGCCATTTCCTAAGCCCAGGGACAGAAGCCATGGCATCCGGGGACGGAGACAGAGCCAGGCCCGAGCAGGAGGCTCCCGCCCTCCCTGACCTCCGGGACAGAGCCCACTGTCTGCGCCATGGCAGCATTCCTGGGGACAGGGCCCCGAGCCAGGACAAACTCCCCAACATTCAGGGGTCTCCCGATGACAATGGTTATCATATCCCAAGCCAAAGAGGACAGGCTTTTTGCAGAGTTAGTCTTAAGCTTCGGACATGAGCCATGACATGAGTCTGCTATTCCACTTTCCGTCCCAGAGGCTGGCAGGTAGCTTCTTTCTGAGTCACTCTGATATTTCATGCTGCAAGAACTCTATCCTAGACCCTCACCACCCTAGAGATCCTTCAGAAGATGCCAGTGGTAGAAATGATTTGTCCTAGGTACACCTTGGCAAGATTCAGAAAAGGAGAAATAGCTCATCTATTCATTCACTAACATCCATCCATCCATCCATACATCCATCTACCCATCCATCTGTGCATCCATCCATCTACCTACCCATCCATCCATAGGTCCATCCATCCATCCATCTGTGCATCCATCCATCTACCTACCCATCCATCCACAGGTCCATCCATCCATCCATCTGTGCATCCATCCATCTACCTACCCACCCATCCATAGGTCCATCCATCCATCCATCCATCCATCCATCCATCATCCACCCACACACCCACCCGTCCGCCACCCACTCACCCCCCCCTTTGACCCACACACCCATCTACTCATCCCCCACCTCCCTCACCTCCACTTGCTCATCGGTGTGTGTCAGATCCACTCAGCACACTCACAGGTTCACCCAACCTGTCCATTCACTCACTCGTCCAAGGCACTGAGATCACAGACATAAAATAAAGGCGTAGTTCTTATCCCTAAATTGGGTGAGAAAGTGGAGGAAAGGGGTTCTACTGGGAATTCCTCATGTAAAACGGAGAGGAAGGCAGTCGTTCCTGGCACCCCTTGTGATCTCAGCACTCTGGGAGGCAGAGGCAGGAAGATGCAAATTAGAGCCAGTTGTGGTGGTGCACCCTTGTGATCCCAGCACTCAGGAGGTTGAGACAGGAGGAGGACGGTTCCAGGTTCAACCTGGGGTTACAAAGGAGTCCAAGTGAGCTCAAGGCTGTCCTGAACTGCGCAGTGAGACCTTGTCTCAGAAAAAAAAAGTTCAAGTTGGAGCTCAGCCTGGGTAACAGACCCTGCAGGGCCTTATCTCCGGAAAGAAAGAGGCTCAGCGCAAAGGCCCTGGGCTCAGTTCCCAGTTGCCCGAGCGTCTTGTCGCAGGCCTCAGACTCGGTGGGGTGGGGAGAGCTAAGGCCACAGGGGGGCACTCGCTGCCGACCAGGGCCTTGCAGCCTTAATATGAGCCGGGTTTTACCCTGAGGTGCCGGGATGACACAGCCGGATTCTCCCTGCTCACTTCTAAACATGACTCATCTCGTGACCTTAGACAAATGCCACTCTCTCCGGTAAAACAGGAACAGATGGACCTACGCGTGCCGCAGACGAGTGACGGCACTTAAAATACAGTGCGGGTCGGGTCACACCAAGGGTAAACCTGGAAAGCCACGCTCGCTGGTGCTTCCATTCGCCAGCCCAAGTGCTGGCCAGAGCGGTGACCCTCCTGAGACTCAGCAGTGACCTGAGTCTCCCCTGGAGTTTCATTCACAAAAGCTCAGAGATGGAGCCCGGGGTCTCTCTGAACTGCCCACACGGCCCTTACACTTGCCATCCTCCTGCCTCAGCCTCCTGAGTAGCTGTGGCTACAGGCGTGCAGCACCACAGCAGCAAGAGAGAAGCTTCTCCACCCTGCTCAGATGGAAGTGTGGGAGCCCAGCTCTGCCTGCATCCGGACGGCTCTGAGCGCCCACCCAGCACCTAAAACGCAACTCACAGCTCAGTGCAGCGGAGGGAGGTGCCGGCAGCCAGCCCAGCTGCTGGTGCTGGCATCTGGATCGCTGGTACTGCCGGGTGAGCAGCAAGTCCGTGCCGAGGGACCACCCTCCGGTGCGACGGTCAGCATCAGCAGTTTTACTTAATAATATGTAGATCTGAGCATCCTTATTAATATATTTTCTAAAAGACATATTTTACTTTTTATTTTTGTTACTGGGATTAGAACTCAGGACCTTGCATTTGGCAGCCAAGTGCTGTATCCCCTGAGCTCTATGCCCAGCCCAAGACGTATTTATTTTAAAGGAATATCTTCTAAAAGGAGAATTTTTTTTTTTCTTTTTGAGACAGGGCTCACCATGCAGTTCTGGCTGGCCTTGAGCTCACTTTGGAGCCCATGTTGGTCTCAGACTCACAGCAATCCTCCTGCCTCAGCCTCCCAAGTGCTAGGATTACAGAAGTACGCCACCACACCCAGCTTAGAAGAGTATTTTTTTTTCTTTCTTTCTTTTTATCGGTACCGGGGATCGAACTCATGACCGCTGCTTGCAAGGCAGGTGCTTATGCCTCTGAGCTAAATCCCCAGCCCTAAAAATACATTTTTAATGTTATGATCCAACAGGTGAATACGAAATAGAACTTCAATACACTAACTCGGTCACAGCCGACCACCTGCATTACACTGCACAGATATTTAATCAAAGGGAAATACGGGTCCTGACACCCTCCAGCGTCTACACTGGCACCCATCGGGCTTCCACAATCCCAGTGGTGTTTAAAGGAATGGATCCCAGCCAGGCATGGTGGAGCGTGTCTTGTGAACCCAGCATTCTGGGAGGCTGAGGCAGGAGGACCAGATTCCAGCCCAGTCTGGGTAATTTTATGAATTAGCAAGACCCTGTCTCAGAGAGATATAAAGGACTGGGGTGTGCGCAGGCCCTGGGCTCAGCACCCAGCACTACAGGTATGGACAAGTGCCTCCTTCAGACTCTCACGGATGCCTCCACAGCTCCAGCTCCTGATTAGTAGCGACCAGCGATGCCCACTAGGGTGCGGAGAATGACCCTGCTGTGACCAGAGCCGCTTCCCGTTGCCTGCCTGCCCGCCCCTCCCGGTGGCACCCAGCTCTCCAGGCCGAGATCTTGAGGGGCTTCCCTCCCCCCATCACCCCCAATTTAAGACCCCAAGGGTCTGGCAGGTCACTCTGGGGCCTGGGCATACCCGGCTGGTGCCCAGGGCCAGCCTGACCTGGCCAGCAGCGCTGGGCTCCACCGCCTCTGGGCGCCGAGGCTGCGGGCCGCAGGGGAGGAAGGGGCCGAGCTCGGCCTCCGCCTGGTGACCCCGGAGGGCGGGAGCCGGTGCCCCGAGCTGGTGACAGTGGCCTGGGCTGGAGCGGCTGCGCCTCGGGGGACACCGGCCCGCCAGGCCGGAAGGGACCTGGGCCTGGGCCGCGCCTCCGGGCCCGCGGTGTCGCCAGCCAGGGCCGCGGGAACAAAGGTCTGCGCGCCGGCCTGGGGCCGCCCGGGGCCCACGCGCGCCCGCCCGGTACCTGTGGGTGCGGCCCGGCGCATCCCTCGGCTCCTGCGGTCCCGGTCCCGGTCCCGGTCCCGGTCCGGTCCCCCACCGCCCCGGTCCTGGCGGCGCCGCAGCCTCGAGGGGAGGGGCGGTGACGTCACCGCATCCCGCGCAGAGCATCGTTAAAGCGGCGGGGACCGGACCGGGACGGACCGGACCGGACCAGGCGCTGCCCCAGGGCATCTGGGGACGCACTGACCTGGAAGCCGAGCCCACACGGCCGGGGCCGCGGCTGGGCTTTGATTCCCCCTTAAAGTAGGGGCCTCGGGGTATGTCCACCTGGAGATCAACACTGTGCGCCCCAAGGTCGCCCCGCGGGCACTAGGGGCTGTCAGCGCTCCCCCAATTCTCCTGCTCACTCATCATGCTCACCTGGTGCCCGTGCTGTGCTACCACTATTTTAGGGGTGCAGCAGGGCCCCCAGAGTCCCTGCCCCGTGGAGCAGCACTTCAGGGGCACAGATGCAGATTACACGGAGCGGAATGGGTAGCTTGAGAGACAGAGCTGCTTCCCCAGGCACAGGACCCCCTGGCTGGGGGACCCAGGCCCAGCTGCATCACGGTGACTGCGCAGGGCGGGGCTTCAAAGTCCTAAAAGGAGGTTTTAGATGAAAGTTCCTGCGGGGTGGGGGGTAGGGTACAGCTTGGCAGCACAGCGCCTGCCTGGCAAGGGCAGGGTCCCAAGTTCCGTTCCTAGTGCAAAAAAAAGAAAAACGGCCAGGCATGGTAACACACTCCTGTCACCCCAGCACTCGGGAGGCTGAGGCAGGAGGATCATTGTGAGTTCAAGGCCAGCCTGCACTGCATAGTGAGATCCTGTCTCAAAACAAAACAACCCCCCCAAAACCCTCAAAAAACCCCCAAGCACAAAACACAACAGCAAGAAAAAATTTCCTTTTAATTTTGTTTAGCCCCCGTAGACCATCCTTGTTTAACCCTTCCAAGGTCGGAGGAGCACGTGTTTTCTCCTCCTGTGTGACGAGGCCTCCAGTCACCAGGCCTCCCCAGGACGCAGCGCAGACAGAGGTGACAGAGCCACAGCGGTGGGCTCTGACCTGATTGGGAGACCCTCGGCATCGGTGCGGGGAGGACGCGGAGGCTTTGGCGCTGAGGTCGGGGCAGGGCGCCGGCTCCCAGGAGCCTGCAGGTTCCATTGAACCGTGGACCCGGCCGGCTGGGCCGGCGTCCACCAGGGGGCGGCAGAGTCCACGGAGTGGGCCTGGACCCGGGTGGCTGCGTCCTACTGGATTGGTTCTTCTTCCTTCGCCCGGGGCCTTAAACTGAGCTGCTCCCCGCCCTTTGCTATTTTTATTTTGTGATAGGTTCTCACTAAGTTATGAGGTTGCCCAGGCTGGACTTGAATTTGGGATCCTCCTGCCTCAGCTTCCCCGAGTGCTGGGATCGAAGGTGTGCACTGCCACACCCGGCTCATATGGAAGATTTACCCAAACAATCGTCATGTTATGAAATGTGCCTCGTCCTTCGTCCTTCGTGCCAGTCCTTCCTGAGCCTGAGCCAGGAGGGGGAGAGGAGGGAGGAAAGATGGGCTGAAGGCGGCTGGGAGACCAGCCATGCCGGGGTTCAGCCCTTCTCGGGGTCCCTCTGAAGCTCGCACGTGCAGAGCCTAGCCTCCATGCACGTGCATGGAGATGGCTGGAGATGGGGGTAGGCTCCCCCCAAACCCACAGAGACCTCGCACGCAGGACTTGGCGGTCCAGCGCCCGGAACGGCAGAGGCCGAAGGCTCCCTGGGCCGGGGTCCCGGTAAACTGCAGGGCGTCTCTGCCTGCATGACGGTGCTCAACTGTAATCCCAGCACCGTCGGAGGCTGAGGTGGGAGGGTCACAGAGGCCAACCCAGTCTTGGCAACTTAGCCACGCCACGAGCCCTTACAATAAAAAGGGCTGGCACGAAGCTCAGGGCGAAGGCTCGGGGCTTGATCTTCCTGCGGCGGAGCACCGAGCAGTGCAGCCCAGCCTGAGTTCAGATGGGCAGAGGTTGTCCGTGGTACCGCTGTGCTCCAGGCAGCATCCAGCCCTGTGCTGGGATTTGTCACCTTGGCAACGCAGTCCCCGCCCTGGGGCAGCTGCCGACAGCGGGCACCCCTGGGAGCCTGGGGGCTGGGTGGCTGAAACCTGGGGGATCCAGCCTCGGGCTGCACCGGTCGGCTGAGCCTGAACCGCCAGCTCCCGGCCTTACAACGTCATTCTAATCCCGCGCCTTGACCAGTCGGGAATCGTGGATTCGTGATTCTTACTGTATGAGACATTGAACCAGTGGAGGGCACGGTGCAAGGGATTGTGCGGTGATTTCTTGCACACAACACCCACTAGTGGGTCTGGGTGGCCTGCTTTGTCACCCCAGGTCCCTGCCCTTGATTATGTACCTTTCTGCTCTCAGCTCCTGCCAAATAATTATCACCTGGGGAGGCTGAGGCAGGGGGACCAAAGTTTCAAATCCTACCTGGGCAACTTAGCCAGGCCTTCTCTCAAAACAGGAAAGTAAGGCGGGGCTGGGATTGGGCTCGGTGTGCGCTTCGGGTTAATCCTTCCTGGGCTTTCCCTCTGATGTGAGTCTTAGTTTGGGCTCCCCCAAAGCCGGTGGCTCACTGGAAAGGGACCCAGGAGCAGGGAGCAGGTTGGATAGAAGGGAGGAGCGGGGCTGGGCAGGCAGCTCAGTGGTGGAGCACTGGCCGACAAGCAGGAGGCCTGGGTCACCGGTGTGGCCGCCTCCAGCTTCGGCCTGCTCGGAACTTATCACTCATGAGGCCCAAGGTCCCGGCACCGGCATCTTCCCCTGGCAGCCTGCATGGCAGGAGGTGAGGGGCACCAATCTCCTGTCTGGGGGCCCCACCCTCGTGACCCGGCCACCTTGGAAGTTCCCGTGTCCAACACCATCGCATCGGGGAGCAGGGCCAGTGTGTTAGTGGGGACACCAGTGTTCAGCCTGTAGTTCTTCGCAGGGACCCTCTCGGGTGGGAGAGGTGGTCACGGCTGGGGACCCCCAGGGGGCACTGACGGCCCTGGGTCTGTGGGCAGCTCGGGCAGCTGTGACAAAAGCCAGGCGGCTCCAAGAGCGGACTGTGCCTTCTGGAAGCGTGCAGGGTTCCACTGGCGACCCCCGCAGAGGCAGGTGGTGGCCTCCCTCCGTGACCTCACAATGTTGCTAGGTAGGCGAGATTCCCACCACCACGACCCGGCAGCTGCACTCCGTGGGGCTGGAGCTCAGGGGACACAGTCCCATCCACGGCGGTGACAAAGCTCAGCGGCTTGGGACGGGGACTGTCACTGGTGGGGACACTGTCACCGGGCCAGCTCAGCCCACTGCGGCTGAGCAGCCCTCAGCAGCTTGTGCTAACGTCCGTTCCTACACTCGAGGATTTAGGGCAGCCTTTTAAAACGCTTTGTCTTCTCCCTTGTTTATCTTCCTTTCCTGGCTTTGTGGGGGCTGTGTGTCTGCAGTGCCTTTTTAGGGCTGTGTAGCTCTCCCTGGAGCAAAGTGATCTGACATGTTTGTACAGGCGTCAGTCTGTCCTCAGGTCCTTGACTGCTAATACAATGAGGCGGTTGTGAGTATGCTGCCAGAGACAAAGGTAAGCTGAACCCGGGCGGGATATTCGCTCACACATGGAAGCAGAGGCTACAGGGAGGAAGTGGATATCGTTCACCTGGAGCAGGTAGGGTCACAAACGGGGCCCAGGGCACCTATGCAGCCTCAATCTTCAAGCAATGGGACCTCTACATGGCACTGCGGCTCATCCCGCGGCCATGTGGCCGAACTGGAAATACCAGGACAGTAACATGACACTTGGGGGTCCCTACAGGTTTGCTAAACGGTGGCCTACACGGCCCTCGAAAACTGTGACCAAAACTGTGTGTACTGTGAGGATAAAGGCCCTAAAATGCCTTTGTCACTCATTTCCCCGTGTCGTCTATGTGTATCAGGGCCCTGTGTCCCTCTGTCTTTCCCCGTGTCGTCTATGTGTATCAGGGCCCTGTGTCCGTCTGTCTTTCCCCGTGTCGTCTATGTGTATCAGGGCCCTGTGTCCCTCTGTCCTTCCCCTTGTCGTCTATGTGTATCAGGGCCCCGTGTCCCTCTGTCTGTCCCCGTGTCGTCTATGTGTATCAGGGCCCTGTGTCCCTCTGTCTTTCCCCATGTCGTCTATGTGTATCAGGGCCCCGTGTCCCTCTGTCTGTCCCCGTGTCGTCTATGTGTATGAGGGCCCCGTGTCCCTCTGTGTTTCCCCATGTCGTCTATGTGTATCAGGGCCCTGTGTCCCTCTGTCTGTCCCCGTGTCGTCTATGTGTATCAGGGCCCTGTGTCCCTCTGTCTTTCCCCGTGTCGGCTGTGTGTATCGTGGCCCTGTGTCCCTCTGTCTTTCCCCGTGTCGTCTATGTGTATCAGGGCCCTGTGTCCCTCTGTCCTTCCCCGTGTCGTCTGTGTGTATCAGGGCCCTGTGTCCCTCTGTCCTTCCCCGTGTCGTCGGTGTGTATCAGGGCCCTGTGTCCCTCTGTCTTTCCCCGTGTCATCTGTGTATATCAGGGCCCTGTGTCCCTCTGTCTTTCCCTGTGTCGTCTGTGTGTATCAGGGCCCCGTGTCCCTCTGTCTGTCCCCGTGTCGTCTATGTGTATGAGGGCCCCGTGTCCCTCTGTCTTTCCCCGTGTCGTCTATGTGTATCAGGGCCCTGTGTCCCTCTGTCTTTCCCCATGTCGTCTATGTGTATCAGGGCCCCGTGTCCCTCTGTCTGTCCCCGTGTCGTCTATGTGTATCAGGGCCCTGTTTCCCTCTGTCTTTCCCCATGTCGTCTATGTGTATCAGGGCCCTGTGTCCCTCTGTCTTTCCCCATGTCGTCTATGTGTATCAGGGCCCCGTGTCCCTCTGTCTGTCCCCGTGTCGTCTATGTGTATCAGGGCCCCGTGTCCCTCTGTGTTTCCCCATGTCGTCTATGTGTATCAGGGCCCCGTGTCCTTCTGTCTTTCCCCATGTCGTCTATGGGTATCAGGGCCCCGTGTCCCTCTGTCTGTCCCCGTGTCGTCTATGTGTATCAGGGCCCTGTTTCCCTCTGTCTTTCCCCGTGTCGTCTATGTGTATCAGGGCCCTGTTTCCCTCTGTCTTTCCCCGTGTCGTCTATGT